CAAAGTACGTACAAAAATATTCCTTTTGCATGTTTTGATAGCCAATTGTGTAACCAGGGTTTCACAAATGTGTAGAATTTTCTTAAAGTCTTTTTTCAAAAGTGTAAAAATATGATCAGTCACTTGAAATTGCAGGCCAAAATGCATCTTCCCCTGTATTGTTCCACATATGTATATAGCTTTGACTTGAAAGACTTCAAAATAAATTTGCAATATTATTGATGCCTCAGTAATTTTGAATGTTTTGACTTAAATTAAAATCTGCAAAGGTGAAAATATCCTTTTCTTTTAAATTTTCGCAACAAAACTTGTTCAGCAACTTCCAGCAAATACCATGTAAATTTGACTAATTGAGTCATCAGATTTTGAATTAAAGATGCTTGACCATAGTTGAAAAAGGGCAAATAATTTACGTTTAGGTCATTTTAAATAGTATGTTGTGGGTGCTTTGCTTAGAAGAGGGAGTTAAATCAATTATTAGAGTGAATTCGAATAAAATCAACTCTGTAAAGTTATCATCTGTTAAACATATAAAAAATCTCATTTGTTTATGTGAAAGGTTGGAATGAATGAATTGAATATTTCTAAAAAAAGTTCAAAATCATTTATACAATTTAGGACTTACTATCACATTTAAGGGGGGCATTACTAGGGTTGGCAGAATAAAAGAGCCTGAGAGTTCAAAATAGTGAATTGTTAATGCCCACAATGGTCAAAATTTAAGACATTTTTAACGAGTTTTTAAAAAAAAAAAAAAAATTTAAATTGTAAGCCCTCTGTGCTTCCCCCCAACCCTGAATCCGCCTTTCATTTGTCCCAAATACTTAATAATTGGCATAATCCATCTATAAACAATTTTATCCTGCAATCAGCCAACTATTGTACAAATAACAGGTACACAAATAAATTTTTGCTTTATTTGTACTTGTACAAATAAAGTCTCCTGTTATCCCTCTTCCATGTTGAGCAAGCGGTAATGTGGATATTTCTTTTTGCGTACCAGTTATGTGGGGTCCTCTTCGCGGTCCGCGTTTAAACTATGTCGATTTCTTTGAAAAGTTAGAGACAATGATTAAGATTTTAACAACTAAAGTTTCAAGTGTTGGGTGTAAATTTCAGGATAAAAACAATATATGTACATTGTCGGAAATGTAAAATTTATTTGTACTCGCTGCGAAACAGGAGATAAACTCGGCGAGCCTCGCTTTTCGTCCTGTTTTTAAAGCTCATACAAATAAATTTTATATTTTCCGACAATGTTGCATATATATTATGAAACAAAACAGTATAATAATGTTAGCAGATAAGCAGTAGGATGACATCAGGTCATCTCAGTACAGACTATTTCCGGCAGCCGTCGAGAAACTTACAAAAAGGAAAAAATGGACATTTTTGAAACCATTAGCAAAACTATTCTCTTAAAAGTCTACTCAATTTTATTTTTTTTATTAACACTATATATAGAGACTTAATATTAGGAATACAATATACATTAAACCACTGTTAGTCCGGATTTCGGTATACATATGATACAAATTAGGTCTTATTCTTTAATGTTTCCAATTCTAATTCCTTTACATTTTCCCGTTGCCATAGCAACGTATTAAAAAAACATCATCACTGATAAAAATGCTTTATATGATTGGCAATGGTTACCTTACTCTGTATTTGTAGCAAAAAAAAATCCTAGGTGGCCTGCAAATGTGTTGACTTTTGTCTATTTTTGGTACGCTCTTTGGACTCGTAACTAAGGAAACATTTTCCTTAGATACAAGATGTAAGGACATGATTTAAAAGTTTTTTTTTCCTTATATATATTCTTTATGATATAGCAAATCAATTCAGAGCATTTTAAACTGAATCTAGATTTTTGCTCATTCAAGGTTTGTACAGTACGAAGCTTGATGCTTATTGACATGGCCTCTTAATTGTTTTGAACTTTTCTTTTCAAACAGAAAAGGAGGTTCTTGAACAAGGGAGTCTTTATGAAAAAGTAAAATTGAGCAATAGTTGTATTGTTGTTATCATGATTTAGTTGATCGTGCAGTGATATCTGTGTAATAAGAGACTACAAATATGCGCATGCGTTGTTAGTCAAATCCCGTCACATTCTACCTTATTTGTTTTCGGAACTGAATACGATTTATTTTTTAGAATCTTATTGTCATGAGAAACGCCATAAGTGTTATCAGCAGAAGAATAATTGATCGCCATTCCAGAGCAGATGTGTCCCCTTTCCATCAGGTTTTCATTAAGATGGATTTGTTGTACCTTAGTCTTTAGTTTTCTATAGTGTTTTTAACCTTGAATGCCTTAACGTGTATTTTCTCTTGATTATTTCACTATTTGTGTTCAAAATATGTTTTATATATCTTTTGGATTTTCTATTTTTAAAATAATTTCTCTCTATATAAAACGTGTAGTGATGCAGTATGTTTACTTACAAAAGTTACGTTCGCAGATGTAATAATACTCATTCGAGCAAGTCCAATCAAACCAACGTCTAAAACTACTTCCAGTACTGTAAGCAACGCAATTGTATGAAGTTCCCTGTGCACCATAGCCACTTTTCCATGACTTGTACGTGGCCTGTGACTGATCAAAAGTCCAATGCCAATCTCCTTCCTTCAGGTCTGTCAATCCTTTCCAATAATAATAATTTACTACGAAATAAACATGGACAGTGCCTATTGGTGTTTTATTGATATGAGCGGCGTCGGATAGAAATCGGCCTTATACAAGGGGACGTCAACATGTAAATGTATAAGACTGATTTATTTTGGAACATTTAAATACGAAATAAAAGAGGACTTTTAATCTGTTTTGCAGGGTTCTTATTAAAACTCAATTTTCAAACAGTTACAGACTTTCCTTAAAGATTTTTTTCAACCCAAAATAGGTTAAAAGAATTATTGATATTCTATTGCATAAGGTCGATTTCTATCCGACGCAGCTCATATTATATAAATTAAATGGAAGAGTTACGCTTCAATATACTTTAATGGAGAATTTCATTCACTTTGACTACGTTTATTATTGCTTTAAGCATATTTTAGTAAAATATAAATTTTAAAGTTTAACATTAGCTACAACAATACAACTGCTTAGGAAAATTAAAGTCATGCATGTACTTTTTGGTCTGTTATCAGAAATCCATCTGTTCAGACGAATCGTCAGCTTTGACAATGTATCCACCAATTTCCGTACATCGATGCTACAAAGAAAAAGAAAAGGTATTATTAGATAAACTATGATAATCTTTTTTTTTCCAGAACTACAGTTTTTTTATGGTGTAAAGAGAATTTTTTTATCAGGTTTATTCGTTCATCTAATTATATGTGTTTCTCCTTTTTTTCCACTCCAACTACATATACCAAAACGGCAATAAACTAAAAGAGGTCGACATACAATAATTATCGATAGAATGGTAAATTATTTGTGGTTTCGTCATTGTTCTGGGAAAATATTGAAATGGCTGATAAGCACAAGTTGAAGTTTTTGCAAAATTGTGTGTTGACTCCAGTAAAATTGTCTGTTTGTACTATGCTCTGAATGATGTGAATTAATTAATTTAGGTCCTTCTGATTTTTTTAAGCATCTTTTTCTCTCTCTCTCTCTTTTTAAGCCTTGTTTCTTTTTTATTCTATATTTGAAACTGTGTTTTTATCGATTTTAGAAAATGATAATGTAACAATCTCTTTTCATATTGAATTATGTATAAAACCCTTTTTGCTATGAAACTTCAGTTTGCGAGTAGCTTGATAGTATTACTACCATTACGACTGTTGCATATGGAATTACCATAAATAATAGTCACTTTTAAGTGGTATTTTTTTTGTCCTTATACCTCTCGCCTAGATGAACAATTCTTATTCAAATCACCCTGTTGTTTTAACAGGATGTATAGAAATGCAATATTTGCTAATATAAAACCATTCAAAATTTTTAAAAGATGAAAAACATAAATATGTTATATTTGTCGTAGGACGTAACGAACCTACAGTCTTTCATCTGATTTGCTTTGTGTGTCTAAGGAATCTAGACGTTTAATGACTATACCAATTAATTCCCAATTACAAAATACATAAACAAATACATATACATACATAAATTGCATATTTTGGCGTTAATATTGATTCACTTATAGGGTCTTTGCATCGGCACTAAACACATTTATTTTAAAACCAGTTGTTGGCATGACACGGGTTATGTTCTTCTCATATATGTTATGATGGTATGATACTAAACCCCTAACGGGAAGGATTGTGCCTGATATTCATATGATGAAGACATAATCTTTCAATCAGTTTAATTGAAGTCTTGAGCTGACATGTCAGTTAACTGCTAGTAGTCTGTTGTTATTTATGTATTATTGTCATTTTGTTTATTTTCTTTGGTTACATCTTCTGACATCAGACTCGGACTTCTCTTGACCTGAATTTTAATGTGCGTATTGTTATGCGTTTACTTTTCTACATTGGCTAGAGGTATAGGGGGAGGGTTGAGATCTCATAAACATGTTTAACCCCGCCGCATTTTTGCGCCTGTCCCAAGTCAGGAGCCTCTAGCCTTTGTTAGTCTTGTATTATTTTTAATTTTAGTTTCTTGTGTACAATTTGGAGTTTAGTATGGCGTTCATTATCACTGAACTAGTATATATATTTGTTAAGGGGCCAGCTGAAGGACGCCTCCGGGTGCGGGAATTTCTCGCTGCATTGAAGACCTGTTGGTGACCTTCTGCTGTTGTCTGTTCTATGGTCGGGTTGTTGTCTCTTTGACACATTCCCCATTTCCATTCTCAATTTTATAAACAGATACCAAAAAAAGAGGAAAAAAAGAATACAACATTTTAGCATAAAAGAGAAAGTAAATGAACAGTAATAAAACACTTTACTTAACTCATTACCAGGAGAAGCCTTCAAAAACAAAACAATATAGCATTTGGTATTACAACGAACATACGTATAAGTGATTAATGAGAACTGGTAACCTACCTCAGCTGTAAACCAACCACATTGTTCGTTAGCATAATAATAACAATGTCCATTATATTTCAACCACTGCTGTTCTGAAATACAAATACTTGTAATTAAATTTGTTAGGGACATTCACGCTTCCCTTATTCAAATTGAATAACAACAAAATATAAGATATCAGGTGTTTGCATTTAGCTATCGTGCACTATCATCTGCCTTTATGTGACTGATATTGGTAGAAAATATTGTGCTTCATCTTAATTTCAATCGTGTTTTGTTTCTAGATCTTGTAGCGTGTCGTAGTACGACAAACCAGAGGCAAAAGATAGCAAGAAGACATTCAGCGAGAAGATACTGACGATGGAAATGCAAAATACGAAAGATGACAAAAAGACAAGCAAGTGAAAAAAGACGTTACGTTATAAACAAAAGACTGAGCTACACGAACCCCATCAATAATTTGGTTGTTCTCAGGTGCTCCGGAAGGGTCCCATCATTAAGGCAAAGTGTAAAATCTTGACTGGACAAGAATGACTCTTGGGATTGACTTATTGACTGAACTGGACTGTTGGACATGACTGGAATCGCATTAATATTTTTGTTTACTTTAAATGTAAAACATTCATTTAAATGGTAAAGTACAGCGTTATTTTTGTTTTCGAATGATGTTTTAGCGACATACAAGATTTCTCTTACAGGTGGTTTATTTTAAAGTTGAATGTGTAAACATTGATCAGGTTACAATTGCGATCACCTCGGGTTTTTCAGTGGGGTTCGTGTTGCTCAGTATTTAGTTTTCTATGTGGTATTTTGTGTACTGTTGTTTGTCCTTTCGTAGTTTTTTTTTTTTTTTTTTTTTTTTTTTTTGCTATGGCATTGCCAGTTTGCTTTCGACCTATTAGTTTGAATATTCCTTTGGAATAGTTCACCTCTGTTGAATGATGTGATGTTAGTTATTGATCATTCATCAAAGACAAATACAGTAAATAATTGCTAATAACTTTAACATGCCTATGGCGTTATTATATATATAGTTAAAAGAAAAAGGAAAGTTGAAAAGCTAATTATACGATTTTAGTGTATGCAATAACAAATATTGTCACATATTATATGCGTAAAATGTATAATGTCTTGTTTTGAACGGACATGTACATTTGTCACAGGTATAGCCTGCTGCCTTATGTAAATTATTTTCATAATTGTGCAAGGTTAAATATATAATTTTGATAACAAATACCAATCAGAAATTGATGATATTCTGCAGTTCTCTTTCACAACGGAGTTCTGTCTCTTCTCCGACGTTATGTTGGGGGCAAAAATCTAGTCAAGGAAGTTCATTACATGTGCTTTTATATTGTTTTTGAAGAGTTCTTAAAATTTCAATTTTATCTTCTTCTTCGAAGACTTAAAATTTAATTTCATCTTCTACTTCAGAAGTCCTTAAAAAATTTATAATTGTCTAAGGAAGTGTTTAAGTGTAATTTTAATTTCCACTTTGAAAGACGCAATTGAAAGCTTTTACTGAAGATATCATATTTAAATTTCATATTATGAAATATTTCATTTTTAGATGATACAGCAAAGGGCCCGTGGTGTTTCCTTTTGTCACCTTCAATTTGTATAGAGTATTGTTCTTTAGTAAACATCACACAACTCGTGTTTATGTAACAGTCGATTATTGATGTTCCTATCTAATTATTCGATAGAGAAGAAACAAATCAAGGAAACAAACAAAACATGAGAGAATCTCAAGAGACCGGGGGCGATCACCAGGTCAGCATCTCCTGCTATATATAAAAAAGAAGATGTATGTATGTATGCATCATTTCATTTTTTGTTTAGTTTTATTCGTTTTTATATTTGTTTCGTTCGTTTACGTAATCCACCATTTTTTACATAAGAAAATGCCTGTAACAAGTCAAGAATATGACAGTTGTTATCCATTCGTTTGATGTGCTTGAGCTATTGATTTTGCCATTTCATTAGGGACTTTCCGTTTTGAATTATCCTCGGAGTTCGGTATTTTTGTTATTTCACTTTTTACGTTGATTGTGATATATCATTTTATGACGCATGCTTCATTTTATTATGCATGCTAGTATGTTTCATCATCCATGTGAATCCACACTCAGTTAGAACGTCACAGTCAGGAATAGAAAACAATCGGTGAAATTACAAATCAGACAACTAACTGGTATATAAAGATCTCAGAGCGGGTCAATCAATTAGAGATGATGACCATTAAACTTACGTAGTGACGATTTCATTTGTGTTCCTCATAACTCTGTTAAAGTAGGTTTTGTGCAAGGAGCATTTCAAAAGAATCATCGACTTTAACAATGTATCCACCAATTTCCAGGCATCGACGCTACAAAAAAAAAATACAACTAATTAAATTATGATAATCTTTCTTTTTCAAGAACTGCAGCTTTATGATGGAGCACAGAAAATTTGTTTTATCGGGTCAATTAGTTCACAAAACTGGTTTATTTTTTTGTCTGTTTTTTCGACTCCAACTAAATGTACCCCTCCCAAAACAGCAACAAAAATACGGAGAACAACACAGAGGTCAACTAACGATTATCAATTAAAAAAGGTACATGATTTGTGGCTTAACCATTGTTTTTCTGTGAAAAAATGAAAATAACTGATCTGAGCGCATAAGTTTTTAACATTGACCCAAAAGGATTTACACATTTCAATTCATATTTAAAACAAATTTAAAATTACTTGACTAGAAATTTGAAATTTTTTAATGTTATATACAATTTCTTTTTTCGGTTGCACTTGGGACTTTAAGTTTGTGGTTGTAATAATATAATCATACACACAAATTGCGGCATTGTTTGTGTACGTAGTGTGCTGACTCCAGGTTATACTATGTTATAAATGGTGTGAATAAATTTCTTATACGTTAAAACAATGTTTGCAATATCGTTTTCTATTTCTCTTTTATTAGGTATATCTTAGTCGTTTATAATTTAAAAGATTAAAAGCAATCACGTTTTCCTCATATATATATAAGTATGTTGTAGTTGTCGATAAACGTACGCGTAAAGAACTAATCGGTATGTCATATAATTTTACTTATGTATCTAAGGAATTCTGACATTTATTGTAAACAGAATTGTAATTGCGAAATCAAACAAAAACAGCAAAAAGCAGGATGTTGACATAAAAGAGGTAGGTCCAAATTTCTGTTGACTATGTTTAACTTACAGGGACATAATCAGGAAGTTGTAAACCTGATCTGGAATTTGTTTATTAAAAACTGCACATAAATATACTTTCGACATTTTTTAATACTTCAACTGCTATAAAATATCTTGTGTTGCTTAATATTGTACTATTAAGAATATAGTATGGTAAATTAAATACTAAAACTAACATAGGAATGCTTAGAGTTTCTACTCAATGTTTAAACAGTCGATGGCCTCACTGTGTGATTGAGCCAACGAACAGCAAAAGAAACACCTTACTTAACTCATCACCCGGAGAAACCTTAAAAAACAATAATATTGCATATTGTATATACAGTGAACATATTGTATATACAGTGAACATACCGTATAAAAAAGAGAACTTGTAACCTACCTCTGCTGTAAACCAATCACATATTTCGTTAGCATAGTAATAACAATGTCCATTATATTTCAGCAACTGCTGCTCTGAAATACAAATACTTGTAATTACATTTGTGAAGGGCATTATCGTTTCCCCTATTCAAATTGGATATTAACTAATTATTAGATATCAAGTCTCTGAATTTCGTTATCATAAAATATCATCTGCTTTCATGCGGCTGAGAGTTTACGGTAGAAAATATGATAATCTTATTTGTGCTTTATCCCAATCATAGTTTTGTCTATTTCTTGTTACGACAAACAAGAGAAGAAAGGTACCAAGATGACATTAAGTACTTATTAGACGATTGGACACTGAAAATGGTACGGCAAAATACGAAAAGCAAGTCAAAAACAAGACTCTGTATGAAAAACAAAAGACTGATTTATACAAATCCCGTCGTCGTTTATTATTTGCCATGATTTTGCCACGTTGTTTTCAACCTATTTGGTTCACACTTTAGAATAACATGAATAAAGACGCTACATGGGTTATGCAGTGTGCACCAAATATTTTATGTTATTTCGTCATAGTCAGAAAAAAAAATACAGTCATTCCTTAGAAAAATATTACCACAAATTCTATGTGTAAAACGTTTACTGAATTGCTTTTACAAAACGTATATTGTTCACTGTTTAGGTTTATGAAGCCAGAGTGACAGAACAACTGACATATTTGTACTGACGTTTCAAGATTATAGCCTATTCCCTAATGTATAACATTTTAATCAATTTTGCAATATTACATAACAAACGAAGGCTCCTTATATGTATTACTGAAAAATTATTACACCAGGGTTTTCGATATCACAAACTAGTCAAAACATTTTCTAAATTTTATCATCGGTACAAGGACATCATTCGTAAGTATAAATCAACATGCAGACATCTTATATGTTCAGGTATTTCACATCCAGTCTTCTATGGTAATATTCTTTACTAAGCACAAAAATGTCGGCATTCACCTCAAAAGCTAACCAAACCTTCACACAGACTTATTATGAAGGGATATAGTTACGATACTGTTGTCATGTCATTAAAGAAGGCATATTTTGGCTTTAATATCGATTTACTTATAGGGTCTTTGCGTCTGGCCTTTGTCAATCTTGTATGTTTTTAAACTTTGGTTCATTTATATATTTCGGAGTTTAGAATGACATCCATAACCACTGAACTAGTGCACATTTTCGTTTAGGGGCCAGCTGAAGGACGCCTCCGGCTGCGGAATTTCTCGCTGTGTTGAAGACCCATTGGTGGCCTTCGGCTGTTTTCTGCTCTTTGGTCGGGTTGTTGTCTCTTTGACACATTCCCCATTTCCATTCTCAATTTTATCCTATAATAACTCCTCTTTATTTGGGCGCTAATAAGTGTAGTAAGATTTCTTGATAGTTTACCTGCTACTATAGTATAAGATCCATATTCAGTCAGTTTGTATCAGAATATGATATACTGAAGGGGGTTGCTCTCAACCAATGAAATAACGAGATTTTCGTGAGAAACGAGATATTAAGATGCACTTTTTTTCTTGACAGGGTCATCTGAACAATATGTCTGCTGAAAGTGTTTTTAAATAATGTTTATATAAATGTTTTCAAACTGAGACTTACTGCTGAAATCATCTTCCAAAACATTAATTTTACCATTAAGATTCTTAATTTTGCTCCCAACATCACTTTTCAACTTTCCCAAATTACTCTCTAAGGTACTGATAGTCTCTCCAATGTATGTTTCCAGTGCAGTCAGAGCTTTTCTGGTGTCATTGAAGCTTTTCTTTGATTCCTCAGTCAAACACGGTAAGCACATTGCAGATTTGCATATGCAAACAAGAAGAACTAGTGTTACTGCGAACATTACTCGTCTATGCTCTATATAAACAGAAACAAACAGATTGACTATTTCACGATGAACAACACATACTACGTAGTAAATTAACTGCAGAAACATAGCCAGGTTGCAGTTTCACAGAGACTCATTGATAAACTATTCTATAAACATGAATTTGTCATTACGAATTGAATTTGTTAGACCAAATTCAATTTTAATAAGTTGTTATGAATTTCTTCAATTCTTAATTACGTTTTTTTTTTTTAATTCACTTTAAAAAATTTTACAAATTGGTTTTTCTAATTAAATTTGAAATAATGTATTATAAAACATACGGAAGCCAATTAAGTACCTTCCAAAAATGTATTTTGAATTCGAAATCACGTATTAGAAAATCGTGATCAGGGTTTAAAATCGTTATAATGATAATTATTAATCACATTCTTTTGCAATTCATTATTACAAATTAAATTTTCTTTATAATAGATTTCTACGATTCGTGATAACGGATAGATTCGTTATAATTACTATAACAAATTTTTAAAAATCTATGTATATGTAAGAGAATGATAATCCCTTTCTTCATGATTCAGTACGAGCGTTAGCGAGTACTTATCATGAAGTAAGGGATTATCATTCTCTTACAAACTTAGAATATTGTAAAGTGCTCAAGGCTCAAATAATCTATTAGTGTCAATTAGTGTCATTGTCAGTGCAATGTTTATAATTGATGCATGACTTCCTTTTTCGGCATTTCATTTATGGATTAGTTTTAGTGATGTTAGGACATTCTTATAATTTGGGAAATATTAAAAAAAAAATGCGTTATAGACATTAGGTGATAACAGTCCAAAGAAAAGGTAGGAATTGTATATGTTTCCTGATTGTGAGTATGAATGTATATCATGCAATATTTTAGTGAGGAATTATCCTTTTCTTATTTACAGTTTAAATAATTAACAATATTTGAGTTACAACTATATTTATTTTCACAGCCAATATTTTGGTCCGGCTTCTTAAATCAAATACTATTTCATTATGACAGGGGAATGTTCAAATAAAATGCCTTTAAAAGTTTTAAATATATTCAAAACTAAAATTAAATTCCTTTTTTTTTTTAATTTTAACGGAATATTGGAAATAACTTTTCTTCCCAACCGCTAGTCCAGTTATCAGAGTTTTGGAAAGCTAAAGATTTAGGTTGTTTGTGATTTTAAAACTTTTTTTTTCTTTTTTTGCATTGCTTTGATATTGTTTAATTTTTTAGTAATTTAAAGTTATTAATATATTCATAATAACATTAAAGGTACCAGTTTTACTGCACCAGTAGACTTCAATTTATTTTGATTTTTTTGTTTCACAATTCAACTTTTAGTCATTTTCAATCACTGTGTGATAAATCCTTTCAATCTGATAAATGTGCTTCGGGGCAGTTGTAACTCATTTATAGAAACTCTTTGTTTTGAACTGTAAATACCCAAATAATAGGATAATCCCTTACTAAGAACATGATTTACATTCATTGTTCACAATTCAGAGACATCAAATTCTACAATTTCATTGGTCGAGAGCACTTTGCTATATTCTAATATAATTGAATTTATTCATGATCACGAATTACAAAACTAATTTAATCCGTATTGAATGTAACGAATTTATTATAATGAACAACAAATTGAACTAGTTTTCGTTTAATGATTATCTTGAAACCGCCTCGGTTGAATTTTAGCCATGCCAGTATGCTCGAATCGTGTTTGTGGTCCTGGGTGGAAACATTCCTGCATAGTCAAACTTATGTCATGAATTCAAAGAAATTTGTCATTCACATTTCTTTGTTAACCATATAGACTAAAACATTCTATATTATATCATAGCTTGATATTTCCAAAAGTGTCTGTGAGGCTTGGAGATTCTGAACAGTTTTGAATTAGATTTCCTCTATGTCTATACCAATATACAACAAATGTACATATATATAAGAAGATGTGGTATGAGTGCCAATGAGACAACTCTCCATCCAAGTCACAATTTGTAAAAGAAAAACAATTATAGGTCAAAGTACAGTCTTCAACACAGTGCCTTGGCTCACACCGAACAGCAAGATATAAAAGGCCCCAAAAATGAAAGACTCGTATAGAAACGCAATCGTTAGTCTTAACTGAAGAGGTTATATTTTAATTTCATATCATGAAAGGGGGCATCAATGGCCGATATTTAGTCGAACTACTGTACCTTTATATATGAACAAATAATGGGACACTGTAAATTATTCCGTTTTGTACGACTTTGCCCCCAGCAGAGCTATAGAAAAATAGTACATCAACTTGTGTTACACGGACACTTTTTAGATGATACACGGACAATTTTTACTTGTTACACGGACTCGTTTTATGAATAGAATCTCTCGTGCATGATCAGTGAGTTCATGGGCACACTAAATTTCAATTAGATTTTAACTTTTTGTCTCACCGACATATTTTCTGTCTTTTTTATTAAAATATTTACGTTGGCATCAATAATTATATTTTTTTTCAAACAATTCCAGTTTATTACTATTCATATCAGTACACTAAGGGATTGACCATTTCACTTCAAAAGGGGGGCTATGGTTTTTGTTTAATCCTAAAAAAAACTGATCCCCAATTTTATTAGAAAAAATATATTGTGGTCAAGCAGAAGACAAAATAATGTTCTGATTCCTGATTTTCCGAACATCGTATATAAAAGTGCTAATTTCGAAAAATAAAGCGTTGAAAAACTAAATAATTTTCTTACTCAGAAAAAAAACATATCCCCCTTTTGAAGCTAAATGGTCGGTCCGTAAATGTTTTTTTCTCAATATATGGACATGAATAGTATTCTTGACAATGCTGAAAGTAATGAAATGCTGGTACCAACGTTTATATTTCAACAAAAAAGACAGAAAATATATATATATAAAAATCAAATCTTATCAAAAGATAAAATCCCTATCAACTCACCAATGCACGATTGATCCTAAAAATAAAACGTGTCCTTGTATTACATGTTCAAATAGGCAGCAATTTGTGAAGAAAATCATTCAACTTATGTCACCAATTTTGGACGGTAAGCCGCAATTGGATCATATTGTGACGCGTGTTTAATCCTGATCAACCCTATTAGAGACATACAAACCTATAAGCATGATTTTTTTTAAATCCAAAATATATGCCTATATATATATACATGTATATATATATATCTAATAACAAGACAAAAACCATTTTTTCATAACATTTCATTCACTAATTCATTCTTTTTATACATTTATATATATATATTGAATTCATATACATTTGTGAGCAAACGTATGATTTTTATTATTTTTAAGGGGAATGGCTCATCCTGCATTTTTCAACAAATAAAGGATCAAGCCTGTTTATTTTAAATTTATTTTAACCATCCTCCTTTTTTCCATTTTTTCCCAAATAAAAATCAAATGTTAGCTTGCTTACCTCTGAAATCTTTGTCATACATAACTTACTTGCGAAGTTGCATTTTAAAAAGTCTCAAAAGTGTACGACATTCATCTTTTACTTGACATGGTTTTTTATAGAATAATTAGATTCTTGAATTTTTCGAGAAAAAAAACTATCGGCTGAAGGGAAGTGAAAAAAAGATTGTTTAAACTGTAACTTACATAATTTGGTATATGGCCATTTATGTTTCTAATCTGTTTAATTTTGCTACTTCTTCTTAATGTAAAATGTACTACTTCTTTCTTGAAACGCCGGATAGTTCTTCTGCACTTGTAGTCAGGTGAAAGTCTCGGCTATCGCCTTGGACCTTCACCTGACTACTCGTGCAGAAAAACTATCCGGCAATGGTTGTTACCGGCCTGTTTCTTTGTTACCTTTGTATTGTATCTAATACTTCTTTTACATAAAAGAATGATTTATCCATATATTAAACGAGTACTCACCTAATGCCAATTAAAATGGTTGATTTTCTCCAGTTCTTTTACACAAGGTATTCCTGTCTCTTCTCTGACGTTATGTTGCACAATTCTATTCAAGGAAGTTCATAACATGTGCCTTAAATTGTACTTGAAGATCTAGAGTTCTTCAAATCTAAAATTATCTGATTCTATGAAGACTTAAAATTTGATGTTATCTTCAACTACAGAGGTACTTATATTTACTTAAACTTATAAAAATAGATTTTTGATTTAGGAAGTGCTTTAAATGTAAATGTAATTTCTACTTAGAAAGACTAGTATAGAAACGCAATCGTTAGTATTAACTTAAGAGGTGATATTTTAGTTTCATTTCATGAAAGGGGCATCGATGGCCGAAATGTAGTCGAACTACTGTATTATTAGCCTGTCATTACTGAGGTTGTGCTTTCGAATTCCGCACGTGTCAGGTACGCTCAACTCCAATCTTTATTGACTGAAGGTAGGTGGTTCGCTCCGTGCACTCCGGTTTCCGCCACCAATAAAACTGACCGCCACGAAATAGCACAAAAGTGCTGAAAGTTAAACCTCTATCAATCAATCAATCATATCATGAAATATTTCATACTTTCGTTTCGTTTTGTTTTAGCATGTTTTTTTTCGTTTTATTTGTTTGTGAAATATCTTTTTTAAAATGCATGCTTTTTTTCTGTTATATTGATTTTTAAATGATAGAAAAAAAAGAACCGTGGTGTTTACCTTTCAAGTTGTGTATGATTTCGATCTTTAGTAAAAAGCACATAACTCGTTTTAAGAAACAGCAGATTATCTCAGTAATCGATTGAGAAGAAACAAATCAAAGTAACAAACAAAAAACTAAGGGAATCTCAATTGACTAGTTGCGTCCACAGGGTAAGTGTCTCCTACTATGTATCATCCTCCATGCGAATACACAATCAGTTAAGATGTCAGTCAGGAATTTAACACGGTCGGTAAAAATTCTGGTATATAAAGATCTTAGACCGTGCAAACATGTCGCTATTGAGTTGACACACAAACACATCGTATTGGTCAATCAATTCGAGATGGTGACCATTAAACTTAAGTAGTGACGATTTCAGTCGTTCTTATTCAATACCCTATTTGAATAAGTTTTGTGCAAGGAGCATATCATGTTCTAAAATCAATATAAAGTGAACGTACATGAGCGAAACGGATTAATATAGATATGTCAACGTCATACGATGTGACTGAGGGTATGTTACTGCTGAAAAATTGGAACAGCTGGAAGGTTTACATCACTGTGTAAGTAAAAGATTATAGATTGGTGGAACTGCTCGTATCTAATACAAATTTTTTGTCTGTCTCGGTTACAGATCCTATCTATCATTTCTAAAAAAGATTTGCATGAGACACTTCAACATTCATTGTTTTGTTATACTATTTGTTTTACCTTATTTCTATGGTTTGACACAAGTTATTCAGAAAGTATTGAAATAAAAACAAACTGTCCTTTCCAAACGTGTTGCTATTTCAATGTCGTATTAAAGGAGTTTAACTTTATGGATGTTCATCCGTACCATTGTTATCAGAAGTTTATATTTGTTCACATTTGGATCACCCTGTTGAGGACAACCCGTTTTTTTTTAATTTTGTCACAGTACTATGATTTTTAGATATATCTTACTTCTGTGATTACATTCACTCAATGATTGATCAAATTGTTGCCAAAAGTATTGAATTATTCCTATTTGAAAATATATTATTTTCGCATCATATAAGCATTGCCATTGTGAAGTCTGTTCAGATATTTATCAGTGACACTCATCGTATTGTTTAAAAAATGTATTTTTACATTTTCAATTTGCACTTTTTTCCTTTTAATTCCAACATTATGTCATTTATTCTACTAAATTTTCTTATTGCCTCTTCTTCAAAACCTTATTGTTTATGTATGACTTATGAATAGTGTTGATATTTACATGTCCAAAGGCACTTGAGTAACTGATGATAAATTACTTAAGTACAACATAAATATTTATCGTGATCTGAACACGTGCTTGTTTGTGTGTGCTCATTAGTAGCATTCATTTATACACTGTAGTTCTACTATTTAGATATACCGTAAATTATTATTATATAGACCTTGAACATGTAATATTGGGAGAGCTATTAATAGGATGTGTCTGGTTCTCAATCCTTTCCATATCCTTAGATCTAACGAATGACATATGGTGTACAATATGTTTTTGCTGTCAATTTGAGGTAAAATCTGAGGAAACACATTTAGAACCGCCAACCAGGAAGGCTCGGACTATAGTACTTGAACCTAGTTTATTTCAACTGAGAGGAAGGACTATTTTGTACGATAATTGTCTGCATGTATCACATAGGCAACAGTTTTTTTTCCAACCACGAAAGAAACTCCTTTCAAGCTGAATGTTACATGACTATCTTCAGGAAGAAAGTTGATACAGAATATTACTAACCACTAAACTCTCCATATATTTCCCGTGGTAGTCAAATTGCCTTCTCGTTTGGTCATTATTTTTTCTCTACCTTGTGTCATCTTTTTTTTTTTATTTATAACATCCATTCGATAATCATCATATAGAGCAACCGCAAGAGTTGATGAAGGAAAAAGGCATATGGTTAGTTAGAATTTAACCGTCGGCAAATAAAAATGGCTAAAAATGCGTCCTTTCTGTCGAGTTGTATATAAAAATAAACAGTCACATCCCTTTTAAAGGCAACTTTAAGGATGTTTGTTTCCCATGTTTACAACTTTTCATTTTTATGTTTTAACCCATGGCATAAAACATTTGTATCCTGCGGCCATGAATTTCTCAATATATTAAAAAAAGCAAATCATCGGTAAGTGTCTGGACCAAGTCATATCAGGAAAATAGGCAGTTGTTTTTCACATCTTCCGTTGATTGATAGCATTTGATTTAATCGGTTTGTATGGACTTTACCTTTTTTGAATTTGTCGTGGAGTTCGTCATTTTTGTTATTCATTTACACGTATAGTAAAATGTCTTGAAAGTGTATTTCAGATACATTTTAGCTTTTTATGTCATATGAAAAATGCAAAGCAATCTTTGTACTTTAAAGAAATATTTCTGATTGGCAAGCACATCCATCTGTTTTAATTGTTTGCACAGTTTTGACGTATCATAAAAACGTTGCTATTTTGAAATCCGGTGTCAAGTTCTGGGTATGTTTTATATTCCTTATAGAAAATTTTAAGGGGTCCGATGGCGGTTTTTCTCAATGTATAGGTAGAACGGCGACCAATATTTACATTTATCTTAGGTCAATTTTGAACTCTTGTGTTTAAAAAAAAAAAGTAAAATCACAAAAATACTGAACTCCGAGGAAAATTCAATCGGAAAGTTCCTAATCACATGGCAAAATCAAATGACAAAACACATCAAACGAATGGACAACAACTGTCATATTCCTGACTTGGTACAGGCATTTTCAAATGTAGAAAATGGTGGATTGAACCTGGTTTTATAGCGGTTAATTGACTCATTTGCAAATATACCACATATCCTTATTTTTATATAGTACTCATAATAAGTAATGTTCAAAGAATAAGAAATACAAAATACAAAATATAGTAAAGAAATAAATGTCCATATATTCTGACAGCATTAGGGTAAAATTATGATGTTCACCAAACAGGAAAATAAGTTCAACAAATTGACCAAACTCAGAAACGTTCTATATCACGTAGGAACGTCACTGCCATTATTCGGTTTATTGAAGTTAACGTCCGGAGCTCGAAATTACCACGAATTCTTCAAATTGTTTTATGAACAGCATAAACATCTACAAACTGAATGTTTAACAGTCGATTAGCAACCAACTGCAAATGTGAGATAAATGATTGTGGCGTCTGGTAAGATTTGCAGGAATCATAGATAATATTTCACAACCATGTTCCATGCAACAGAGACATTAGTTCATGCGACTGCCATACACGTGAGAGGTTTAGCTATCTATAAAACCAGGTTTAATTCACTATTTTCTGCATAAACAAAATGCCTTTACCAAGTAAGGAATATGACAGTTGTTTTCCATTTCGTTTGATGTGTTTGAGATTTTGATTTTGTATTTTGATAAGGAACTTTCCGTTTTGATTTTTCGATGGAGTTTGGTATTTTTGGTATTTTACTTTTTTCAAGATACATAATGAAGAGAAACTGAAGTTTCTGGCATATAAGTAGCTGCCCATTTTTTTCATAAAAGCTTGTCAAAATGGCGAGCAAGTATTTCCAAATCCTACTCTATTGTTCCTTCCATCCCATTTGACACATTGCACAATAATTCAACTGATACAAGCATGTGCATTACATGTTTAACATAAAGAACTTAACAGTGAGAATCAATTGAAAACTATCACTTTATTAACGAAAAAGAGATTATACCACCGTGAATTTTTCAATTGTAAATAACAACACAGGAGCAGAACCTGTATACGGAGAACATATCTCTCATGTAAAATAGTATTCCAGGTTTGTATGATGACGGGGTTGCTGCTCACAAGGAATCCATTAATCCCTGTGTTCTTAATGGTAAAATTCGAGTCACTTGATTGAAAATATTACATATACCATCATGTTTTGTTTGAACATTATAGAATCAAATATGATGAGGGATATATACCGTTTGTTGTTGCCACAAACAAGTCTAATGCTAGTAATGTAGCTATAATTGAAAAATTTTGAGCCCTCGAGTTCACTGTAGTTTTAGGCGAGGTTCTTGTTGCTCAATTTTTAGTTTTCTGTGGGGAGATTTAAGATCTGCTGTGGTATTTTTTTTTTTCATTTATAAGATTTATGATTTCCAATGGTGAATCCCCTCCAATGAATGTATTAAACAAAAGCAATGGCTAACTAACATTTTGACTTCAACAAAAATAACAAGTTCATATTTCACAAGCAAATTTTAATCAGACTGGATATGTCATCTTTATCACTGCTTTCTAATCTTTAAAAACCTAGAGAACGTAAAAATAAAGCGTGATCTTGTTATTTTATACGAATACATCTTCATAACAACATGGCTTTGCAGAATAAATATGACTTAAGTGTACAAAAATGCATCATAATATGAATATAGAAATCATTAATTTCAAAACTATATCCAATATTCCTGAATCGTTAAGACCTGCTGTATGTCCTTTTTCTTTTGTTAAATTTATTATTTCCTATTGCGAGTCCCCTCCAAGGAATGTATTAAACAAAGGCAATAGCTAACTTACAATATGACTAGGAAAAAAATAACAAGCTAATTATTTCACAAATTAAAATCTACAGTAGAAAATGCCTGTACCAAGTCAGGAATATGACAGTTGTTTTCCATTCGTTTGATGTGTTTGAGTTTTGATTTTGCCATTTGAATATTCCTCGGTGTTCGGTATTTTTGCTATGTTACATTTTTCTTAGTCACTTGGCATAACGACAGTATCGTAAAAATACACAAAGTAAGATTATATTTTATAATAAAAAGCGTTTTAAATGTGTGGTGAACGAAAACATATATTACAATCTATTTACACTATTGATGAATTATGTACATTATTAACATTATCGAAGAATACATTTATTATAATTTGTTGCATAATTCTAAAAAAAAATAGGAACTTAATTATCCCGTATGATCTTTCCATTTTCATGCAGCGATATCACTGCAACACCTGTGTATGGAATACGCATAGATATCTTTTAACTTTCCTTTTTAAACATAATAAGAAGGTTTTGAACAAGGGACTCTATATGAAAAAGTTGAATACCAATAGTTTTATTGACGCCTTCATGATTTGGTTGATCGTGTAGTAATATCTGTGTTATAATTTCCCACAAATATATTAATGTGTTGTTAGTGCAATCCCGTCCCATTCTCTCTTATCTTGTTTCGGAACTAAATACGACTTATTTTGGAATGAGCAACGCCATAAGTGTCATCTCCAGAACGATAATTGATCGCCCTTCCGGAACACGTATGTCCACCTTCCATCAGGTTTTCATTTTGGTGGAATTTTTGCACCTCAGTCTTTAGATTTCTGTTGTGTTTGTAAACTTATCTGTTTTCTCGTCTTTTTTCTCTTGTTTATATCATTATATGTATTCAACAGATGTTTTGTGTATCTTTTGGGTTACTATTTTTAAAGATAGTTCTCAATATATAAAAAGTATCTCTGTTATATGCACTTACAAAAGTTACTTTCGCAGATATAGTGATATTTCGTCCAACAATAGTAATCAAACCAAAGTCTGAAACTACTAGATCCATAATTGTAAACACCGCAATTCAATGAAGTTCCTCTTGCACCATAGCCACTTCCCCATGGCTTGTACGTGGCACGTGACTGATCGAAAGTCCAACGCCAATCTCCTTCCTTCAGGTCTGTCAATCCGATCCAGTAATGAACATTTTCTACGAAATAAACATGGACAATGTATATTATTGTTGTAATAATATCATGTAATTCAAATGGAAGATCTACGCTTAAATGATGGAAAATTACATATATTTAAACTACGTTTATCACGATCGTTATTGCTTTTATTATATCTTAGTTAGATATAAATTTCAAGATAGATTTTCAAGTTAATCATAACCTACAACAATACAACTGTTAAGGAAAATTAAAGTCATGCATGTACTTTTTGGTTTGTTATCAGAAATCCATGTGTTTTCGGAAGAATTATCTACTTTTACGATGTATCCACCAATTTCTCTGCATCGACGCTACAACGAAAAACAAGAGGTATGAGTAGATACAATAATATTTCCGAAAGCTTAAGTTTCACTATGGTGCTAGTCAAATATGGGTCACATCAATTTGTTACTTTTATGAATAAAAGGAGTGTACGTATATGTCCCTGAAGAAATGATAACAGAAAAGTCATTAAATTTACCCATTTAGTGAAATATGTTTTGAAATTTGTTTAGAATGGCCCCGTTGTGCATTTTGAATATCAGAGTGCAATGATGCTAATCATAGAGGCAGTTTGAATTGATCGTGGGCGCCAGATGCTATCTATACTGAACACGGTCGGATGTACTATGTTCTAAAAAGCCTGCAAATTTCTTCATTTTAAAATCTTCGCAATTATGGATATTTCTTTTGTTTTGCTCTATCTGTGTGTGTTATTTTGTCTTTACTGTTTTCAAACGTTTTATAAGGATACATGTTGAATACACCAATATATTGATGCATGTTTAAGAACCTGTCATGCTTTCGTTTGCGAGGAAATCTTAGTTTACAAGTTACAGCTAAGACGTTGTTCTATGATGACACTTCTTTGCCTGTAATGTTGCATATGACTTATATATATACTCTGCCACTTTACATTAGTTGATGTTTTCGAGTCTCTCGCTTTAAGTGAGATTTTTATTCTATTTGATGGTTAGTTTCTTTTAACAGGATGTATTACGATGTAATATTTTCCGGAGCACTTTTGTCCAACAGTAATTAATGAGTTTAGTTTATTGATTGTTAATTTTCCCCCGAACAGTTTAAAAATAATGAATAAGGTTCTTCGTATATGTAAGAGAATGATAATACCTTTCTTCATGAATAAGTACGAGCGTTAGCGAGTACTTATCATGAAGTAAGGGATTATCATTCTCTTACAAACTTTATTGTAAAGTGCTCAAGGCTCAAATGATATATTCAAGAATTAGTTTCATTGTCAGTGCAATGTTTATAATTGATGCATGACTTCCTTTTTCGGCATGTCATTTATGGATAAGTTTTAGTGATGTGAGGACTTTCTTATCATTTGGGAAATATTTTTTAAAAAATGCGTTATAGATATTAGGTGACATAACAGTAGAAAAAAAAGGTAGGAATTGTATGTTTCCTGATTGTGAGTATGAATGTAAATCATGTAATATTTTAGTGAGGAATTATCCTGTTTTATTTACAGTTTAAATCAATTAATACATCAGAGTTACAACTAAATTTTATTTCACAGCCAATAATTTGGTCCGGCTTTTTACATCAAATACTGTTTCATTATGTCAGGGAAATGCTCAAAAATAATGCCCTTAAAAGTTTTTAATATGTTTAAAATTTAATTCCTGTTTTTTTATCGGAATAATTGTATTGGAAATAACTATTCTCCCCAACCGCTGATCAAGTAATCAAAGTTTTGGAAAGCTAAAGATTTAGGTTATTTTTTATCTGAAAGATTTTTTTCTTTTTTTTTTTTGCATTGCTTTGGTATTGTTTAATTTTATAGTAATTTGAAGTTATTAATATTTTCATAATAAAATTCACGGTACCAATTTTACTGCACCAGTACACTTCAACTTATTTTGAGATTTTTGTTTGTTTCACAATTCACTTTTTAGTCAGTTTCAATCACTGTGTGATAAATCCTTTCAATCTGATAAATGTGCTTCGGGGCAGTTGCAACTCATTTATAGAAACTCTTTGTTTTGAACTGTGAATAGACCCAAATAATAGGATAATCCCTTACTAAGAACATGATTTACATTCATTCTTCACAATTAAGAGGCATCCAATTCTACAATTACATTAGTCGACAGTACTTTGCTATATTCTAATCGGTATATGTATATATATGTATTGTTATTTAAACAAAGTAATATATTATCGGATTTGCCTTGTGCATTCAGGGAACCCGGACATTTATTGACCAAGTGATTGTTAAAGGTAATGAAGTGAATAAATTCTGTTCAAATACACTACATGTATTCATTAAGACTAGTTACAGTCAACGAACGTTCAGTTAGCGTGAAAAGGAATATCAAAAACAGAATGCGTTCCTCTGCAAAAAGTTACACTTGATTAGACTCTAAAGTTTTTTTTTTATAAATCAATGTCAGCTATAAATGATGACCTACCTCTGCTGAAAACCAATCACTATTTTCGTTAGAATAGTAATAACAGTGTCCGTTATGTTTCAACCACTTCTTTTCTAAAATAAAAAAAAGATATTTTTAAACGAATGATAGGAGATATACGTAATGAGGCAGCAACGAAACGACACAATGACATCAAAAAGTCAACACATGATATTCAACAACAAAAAAGGTTTATATGCAATATGTTAACCTACAAATAACCTTACACGAAACCATTGAATCAGCGATTTTTATTTTGGTCACGAATCAGTAGTCGGTACTTCTGTGTTAGCACGAATTATCATTGATATGGTCAGAACTATAAATTAACTGGTTATAAAACTTCGAATTTTTCGAAATACTAAGGATTTTCTCTAATTTTCATGCTTTTTCACATTTCTCGATCGGTGTGAGAAAAATATTTCTCATCTCTGGAGAAAACTTTGTTCTCGGCAAATAATTGGTCAAAATTTAAATATGACGTCAAATTTTCTTGGTTTCTTCTGAATTTCCTATTGTGACGTCATGAAAAAAGGCGATCATTCCTGATGACGTCACATATAAAAAACACAACTTTCTGCAAATCTTTGAAATAGAAGGATAAACGTTGTTTAGATATCGTCTGAAAATCATTAAAGAAACAAATTCCACTACTATAACTCGTACGATATTTCTCCACTCTCAACAGTTAAATTTTAATTATTCAAAAAGCTCGACAAGCCTCGCGCTTTAATTATTAATATGTAACTGTCACGAGTGGAGAAATATCATAACACACTTGATGCAGTGGTGGAACCTATATGTCTATACTAGGAACATATTACCGTAGCTATAATTGGCAAAACCTTTCGGAATTTTGGGTGCTCAAGGCTCTCCAACTTCAAACTTTATTTCACCTTTTAAACTTGTTTTATTCGAGTGATACTGAGAGTCTTTTGTAGACGAACCGCGCGTCTTGCTTTAAAAATTTAAATCCGGGTATTTATGATGAGTTTGTTCAGGAAAGTCGTTAATTATTTTGATACACCTCTCTGTACCTTTAATGTTTGATAATTTTTCACCAAATGTACCAAGCTAAAACTTACTTTTGAAATCTCCCATCAAAACCTTAAGGTCACCATCAAGATTCTTTACTTTGCTCCCAACATTACTTTTTAACGTTCCTAAATGACTCTTTAAGGTATTGAGAGTTTTCTGGATGTCGCTCTCAATTGTATTTACTGTACTTCCAAGATATGTTTCCAGAGCGGTCAGAGCTGTTCTTGAGTCGTCCAATTCTTTCTTTGACTCATTAGTCAAACAAGGTAAATATAAACCAATTACATATGCACATAAACAAACGAGGATAACAGGTGTAAGTGTGTGCATAACTGGTTCTTTACTCTATACAAAGAGAAACAAAATATATATACGATGAACAAAATAAACTCCGTTGTGCATTGTTAAAATTATTGAATTGAAATTTAGGAAACTCAGTTAGGACACTTTTTACGGATCCCCTATAAAATATATCAATTTTTTTTTATTATTCATTTAAATTCTTAATTTATAACCTTAAACTTGTTACAGCATGTTAATGTAATGGGCCAAGGGAACATTTTACAAAAAAAAACATGTTAAATTCTGACTGTTCGTTAAAAAGTATTGCTTCTTTCCTTAAAAGTCCTTAATTTTGACATTTCAGTGTTTTTACTTCAAATATTCACATATTTCTCTTTGCATATTTCAAAAGAACACATAGAAATTGACCTTCTATCAAAACTTCAAGAAAAATTCAACGAGATACCTCTACTGTATCGTATGCCCTTAATATATCCCGGTTTCTTTTTTACGTGTTTGGATGTGTTGTTTTGCAATTTTATATTCAGACATTAAATAAGAAGAGATTTGAAGACAAACATTAAAACTGCGAGTATGGGTTTTCTGACGAGAACCTTCCGAAGGACCGATAGAGGGCGCCTAAATATTGGAAAAAGACCAGATTAAAAAGAGGTCCCTCTTTCGACTCTCATACCTATCAGTTCAGAAATCCTAAGGATAACTCCGAAGTATAATAGGAACGAGGTGGGTTATACATGTACGTGAGATGGTACCAAATTTCTATATCCCAAAACTAAAATTCAAATTGTGTAAACAAAACAAAGAAAGATTTGCCATTAATTCAGAATTGACACTATTTGCAACTGTAGGTATAATTTTGATCTTATATCTAAATTTCATTTTACTTGTACACTGATTGGAAAAGCTGGTTTCCACTGGGCAGGTATCACCTTTTCAAATAATTTCTATTTTCAAATCTTTTAGGGGTGGGGTGGGGTGGAATTCTTTCAAATTACAGGACATTGATTTCTATCTCAAAATTCTGTCCTTTCCCAAAAATAGATTTAATTTCGTTCAAAGGTAGCATGGTTCGAATGAATACCAACTAGTTTAATCCGGCAGTATGTTTATGTATCTGTTCCATACTAGATACGTTGTCAGTGGTTATCTTTAGTTATGAATAAAAGGAGATGTAGGATCTAATATTGATACTATACGGTTCAAAAGTTGATTACAGATTTCTGGTATGTACAAATAACTCACTATTTCTTACATGTGAGGGTCTGTGTTCTTTTCATTTTTAAAACCATTCACTAGTAAACTTTATTTTCTTATTTTATTTTTTGCCAGTTATTCTCCATTCTTTATATTTTAGCACAACAGTATTCTCAATTCTTTAATTTGTTGGCCTATTTTTTCTCTACTCTTTATTTTTTGGTTCAATATTCTCTATAAAATGTAAACCCCACCCAAACCTTCCTATATGTCTTTTGTATGTTTTTGAGTTACTGTTCATTGGACGTTTCCCACACATATCCATTTATTCCTTTTTACCATTTTTCACAAAAGAATTAGTAAATCTGTATAATTAATACTCACCAAAGTCAGCTAGTTATTTATTAGAAATAATTGAAGATTCTGTGCAATCCTACTTCACAATGGTTTGAATTTCTGTTTTACCTGGCGAAATGTTGGGCAAAAATCCATTCACGGAAGCTCATTAAAATGTTATTCTATCTTCTACTTTGGATGTTTCGTGTAGCATGCAAGCGGAAAACTTTTCTGAAGATATTACATTTCATTGTTATACATGTGTTATACAATGAAATGTTATATTTTCTATTTTGTTATGTTTTTAATTCTGCTTGTTGTTTTTGTTTGTTTGGTGTTTTTTTCTACACAGAATATGCTTTTTCTATTTATATTTTTTACGGGGATAATGTAACGATATTTCCCCCTGTATGTATTTATTACTTAATTTACTTTTTTCTAATTCCTTTCTCAAAAGAGTCTTACTTATACGTCATTTTGGTCTCTGTAGGAGAGATCCGAATCCCGAGGAGCAATTAATGAAAAGTTTGTAACGGTTGGAAGGTAAAATCTGGATCCGATTCCAACGGAGGAATAATGCTCCGTGGGAATCGGATCCAAATTTTACCTTTGAACCGTTACAAACTTTTCATTAAGTGCTCCACGGGATTCGGATCCCTACACGGATTTCGGATCGGTATACCATCCCACATCTTCTTATTTTTATCACGTTCAAAGGTAGATAACTCCGAAGTATAATATGAACGAGGTGGGTTATACATGTACGTGAGATGGTACCAAATTTCTCTATCCCAAAACTAAAATTCAAATTGTGTAAACAAAACAAAGAAAGATTTGCCATTAATTCAGAATTGACACTATTTGCAACTGTAGGTATCTTATAACCGGTTATTGCTTATATCGTCACAGTTTCTATTTATATATAAATGATAAAGGCTGAGTATCTTACAGTTTTCAGTAATAAACAGACATCTATCTATACGATTTGTTCTAAATCGTCCAAAGTTTATGAAATTTGTGAATACATATAACAGAAAAAAAACCAATCAATAGGTTTTTTTTTAATTATTGCATTAAGATAATTCAATATAAATTGTTCATCTCCTTGGTATACAGACACGATTAGGGTATGGATGGAGTTTACAGAACAGAAAATAATGGCCCAAAATAATGAATAGGGAAAATTGAGCAAAAAATATAAAAAATAGAGAATAATTGGGTACAAAAGTATAAAGAATAATGGTGAACCATTAAAAATTAGGTAATATAATACTGATTACAGAAATCAACGATGTACAGAATAAAGAATACATCTTATTACATGAAAATGTAAATGTAAATTCATTTCCACGAGAATTTTAACGAATAAACTTTATTTATAAAGATAAAGAAAAAATGCCCTTAAAATTCAGAAAATAAAAACCCCCAAACCATACCCTCCACTATGGTTTGTTATCAATAAAATAGTCTCGAAACACGCTTTTATTATCTATAATATATAATATCTACAATGCAAATCCATATATTAATATATTTTATTTCACAATCATCACGTTTAGAATGAAGACTATATTGGGAAATGTTCAGGGTGTTAACGGTGCTTAAAAGAAAGGACTTTAATCAAAGAGGTCCATAAATTGTGTAAGGGTATGCATGCTAATTTATGATAGGTAGGGAAGCAGTAAGTTACAACTATATATATGTCTTGGTCTAACGAGAGATATCAACTTTATATGTGTCTTGGTCTAACGAGAGATATATCTTCAGCACCGCATACGGTAATCAGAATTAGTTTCTTGTACAAAAAATCATCACTCCATCTGTAACGTTAAAGTACTAGTCCCTAGGAGCATTTGCATGCAAACCAGGATATTATGTAATGGCAATATATTACTTTGATATAGCTGTTGGGCCGTAGCTTTAATGGTCCTTGTGACATGTGTTTGATAATGTGAGGACTCTTTAATATGGCCCTTATAATATTATTTGATCTGCACAAATCAGAAGATATCTTAAGGACCATTAGAGTTACGGTTCCGTAGCTTACATTGATACCGATACTCGAGTAGTTTTTATTTGACAAAATATGTATGTAAGGATAATTATAAGTAATCGGCATCCTTTTTGTCGTTTTGTTCTGCATTGAATGTTCTTATTTTTATATTATCCAAATTATCTCGATCTTTGAATTATTCTAATATTCTGTTTTCAATTAAACAAGGTTTAGAATTTTAAAATCTATTTGTACACAAAAAGGTGTGTCTGTTTAAGAATAAACGGTGTATAATTCAACAACAATTAATATCAGATACAATTATTGCCTTCATAATTGAAAATGACAGATTTAAGATGTAAAAAAAAATTTACGACTGTATTTGATTGCGATTTCATTTCGGAAGTAATAAATTCCAATTAAAATTCAATTACATAATCGCTTTGAAACTAACAACCAAAATCTTATTGAGCCCTTTGAAATGAAAGCAAAACCAGATAACATTTATGTGTTCCTATTTGTGAAACTTATCAGTTTGAGTAGTTTTCTTACAACCAAATAATGAAATTTACATCAATCGTCAGTTTTTATGGTATTAACATTGAATTTTATAATATCTATTTACTTTCAATAGGTTTTTTTTTCTCTACTTGTAACAGGTGTATATTACACGTCACTATAAGATAGTTTCTTTGATATATTAGACAAAACAAATCTAACGATTACGTTGCATTTTTCTTCCAGACAATATTTTTAAAATTTTAATTTCTAAACATTTATCATACGTTTCATTGAGATCATTATATGTCCGTACATATAACACAGCGTTTCCATATGTCCGCCTACACTTAAGAATTAAGAGTACGATATCTTTTTGGAGGCCATTTTTGGACAATTTATAAAACTACAGCATGTGAATCGTTCGATAGTAAGATAATTCTCAATCCATCATTGAGGGGATGTTCCAAAATAATCTATCAAGTTGATTTAAACAAATGAGAACATATCAGCACTAAATGTATTAAATAAAAACGAAAGAACGAAGAAATATTGATTGATTGAATGGTTGGTGTTTAACGCCAATTTCAGCACTATTGACCATTTCGTGGCGGTCAGTTTTTGTTAATGGAGGAAGCCGGAGAGAACCACCGACCTTCGGCAGGAAAACTGACAGACCTAATCAAATAAGATTGGAGTCGAATGCACCTGCCACGTGTGGAGTTCGAAGTTGACAGACTAGTGATACATTAGTTGGACTACAACAAAGACCACTCGGTAACCGAGCCCCCCTCCAAAAGAAGAGAAAAGATATACTAGTAATTCAAAAGAACAAACAGGATCTGTCCGGATCTAATTTCAAGCGAACAACATTTAGATCTGATGCTAAGATAGCAAATAGACCATTCCATATCTTTTAACGCGAGAATTGAACTAGTCACCTCTGTCACCAAAACAGATCCCTCCGACTAACATATGCTGTAATTCCACATAATTTAACATTTGAATAGTGAATGTGATTTTTCACCTTCACTTTTCTTTTTGAACTAAGTAATTTTTATGAGGATTCCTTTAACAAAACATAGCTTCTATATTTAACTTTATATATAGAAAGAGACCAAAGGCTTTGTAAGAAATGTACTCTAAATCTGGTTGAAGATGAACAACATTTTATTACTAGTTGTCCAGCATACAATAATGATAGGGAGATATTTTTCAAGGAGATAAACTGTATCTGTCCCAATTTTATATATCTTTCAAATGAGGCAAAATTTGTTTGGTTATTTACTAATCAAAATTTGTCTATACTTAAATATTTAGGGAGCTATATTATTAAATGTCTAGATGTTAGACGAAATGTTAATTAATGTATGTAATAACAATGATAACTGTAATGATTTTATAGTTCTGATCCTGCCTGGAATTAAATGTATGTGATTTTTATAGAATGAAGATAATAACATCTGTCTGAACTTTTTAATGTTTCATTTTAATATAAAAAAATTGTTTTTCTGTTACAAATCATGATGTATTGTTTTATGTGTACATGTTATGCTGCCCATCAAGGGCCCTTGATTGGAATAATAAATATTCTTCTTCTTCTTCTTCTATACAAATTGGGGTAGACATCGTGTATCCATGACTCTGTCTATATATATTTAATGTTGTGCGATGGGTGTCTGGTCCCATTTCTCCACTCGTCTAAACTCGAACAATTCCGTTCTTCGGAGAGTAGCGGATTCATCCGATAATTGTCGATTGCAATTTCTTTTGTCGGTCATAGAATTTGAAACTACAAAGCGACACGAGACAGCAACATAACTATACAACAAAACAAAAAAGCACCTGTCCATATCAGGATTGTTAAATCTCCCCAAATTTAGTTATAATTTTTTAACGGCGATAATCAGAGATCAGGAATTTCTTTTCCCAAACAATCTTACTTTTAAAATTGATCACAATCGCAAGTTATACTGAAATGTTATGACTTGCCATATTTCTTAACTAGAGCTGCCAAAATATCATGCCCGGTATGTGCATGTATAAAAGGCTCCTAACGATTCTATTCGGCAATACGCTTACTCATTCTTGAAGGCCTTACGGTGACCTATAGTTGCTTACATCCAAGCCATGTTATCACTGGTGTGGATAGTTGTCTCACTAGCAATCACGAACTTTTCCAAAATTTTTTTATACAATTTAATCTGATTCGATTTCATGAGCACCATCATTTCATTATATAAATGTGGCATTATGAGAGATGCAACCATCGTAAACCTTTTATTAAATTTGTTTATCAAAAGTAATAATGTTCTTATGAAAAACATAATATATAAACTTATTGTAAGAAATTTATCCGTAAAATTACATGTAGGTACATGTATAGGTGTACACGGGAAAAGACACCTTTAAATCAGTCTGCTAATGATCAAATTACACCGCCTCGGGCCTTTTCAAACCGACTTTTAAAAATAATACCATTATGATTTCATACATCTATCACATTGCATTTGAATATATTCTATACTAATGTATAACCACTAGGTTGTATTTCCAGTTAGTCGTAAGAAGGACGGATCCACTGATTAGGATTAAAAGGGGAGGTTGAGATCTAAACAAAAAATTAGAATAATCGCGCCATATATCCATGTGGACAGT